TTTCTTTCTGCCAGGATTGACTAGAGACGTTGAACAACTGGTCAGCGTTATCCATCTGTAGGTGTTCACATTGTTACCCCCCTCTGTCATCCTCCTTCTGCTTTTCTCCAGACTGTACCGTCTTAATTATCGAAGCATTTCCTTATGAGTTCATGTGCCAGTCTTTCAGCCATACCCAGTAGTCCGTGCGCAAATCAGCCTGTTAACGTGTGATGTTGCTTTTGTTCAGTTCAACAGTTTTTGTTGAATGCTCCCTATGACACCAAAGTTTCAAGCCTCAAGTGGACAGAGTCTGGTGAAGAATAGCGTCTAGTGCTATGTTCTTTGAAATATAACATGAAATAAAAAATTAAGCTGTTCATTTCAAAAGTCAGATCACTTGAGGTTACAACCTGCTGATGGGGCATAAAATACCTACTCGGAGCCGTCTCAATGCTTTGAATCCGGCCTCTCTGTGTCTGTGAGCAACTGGCATGGCTGGCCTCTCAATAACAGGTTTGTTCGGCTGGTGTTGGGGAGTTGACGCGGGTGCTGTGTATGCTTGTCTTCTGGCCCGGGACCCTCCCATCACGAAGCGCTGACAGAGAGAGGCTCTGTGGACGCGTGGCCAGGAGCCTTTCACCTTCGGGTGGTTGCTGGACTGGGGCCTGACAGGAGTAAACAAACACAAAGGCTTGCTCCCGTTAGCTCCAGGAGAGGGCTGAGCTGCAGTGGCCAGGAGGGTCTTGGCCAGTTTTCCTTGCCTAAGTTAAAAAAAAAAAAAGTAATAAGTGTAGCTGAGAAAAACTGGACAGCTCAGGTGTCGAACTTGAATATCCATGTTTAAGTAATTTTGATTTTTAAAAAGGGAGCATTTTAAAAGTTGGGGTTCCTGTAGCCCAGCTCAGGTGTCAGAGATCTCATGGAGACCTTTTTTTGTAGTGGCAGGTAAACCCAGTGGCCCTTCTGTTTTTAGATGTTTGTGAGAGCCGCTGCTAAGGAGCCCTCATGATGCGGTGGTTAAGCGCTCGACTGCTAACTGAAAAGTCGGCAGTTCGAACCCACCAGCTGCTCCATGGGAGAAAGATGTGGCAGTCTGTTTCTGTAAAGACCACAGCCTTAGAAACCCTATGGGACAGTTCTGCTCTGTCCTATAGGGTTGCTACGAGTCGGAATCAACTCGATGGTAGTAGGTTTGCTTTTTTGGTTGAGAGCTGCCACTAAAAGGTAAGGGGTCAGTCAGTAGCGTCACAGGCACTATTTCAGAGGCCCCCTTAATTAGATGCTAGGCTCAGTTTTTTAAACGTGTTTACTTTTTTTAAAATAGAGTTTTGTTTTTTAGAGCAGTTTAAAGTTTACAGAGAAACTGAACAGAAATGACAGAGAATTCCCATGCTCCCACCTCCCCCTTCACTTTCCCTTTTATTAACTTCTTATATCACTAGAGTACATTTGTTATACCTGATGAGTGCATATTGATACCTTGTCATGAGCTGAAGTTCATAGTTTCCGTTAGGATTCGCTCTTTGTGTCGGACAGTTCCATGGCTTTTATCAAACACATGATGTCACGTGTTCACTATTACAGTATCATACCCGGTAATTTCACTGGGCCAAAAATGCCCTGGGCTCCACCTACTTATTCCTCTCCCTTCTTCTTGAACCCCTGCCCCTGATCTTACTGTCTCTCTAGTTTTGCCTTTTCCAGAATGCCAGTAGTTGGAATCCCACAATATTTAGCCTTTTTCAGACTGGCTTCTTTCACTTAGCAATGTGCATGTTATTGTATGCCTTTCCATGGTGGCTTGAGAGCTCATTTGTTTTTATTGCTGAGTAACGTTCCATCGTGTAGATGGACCACAGTTTGTTTATCCACTCACCTATTGAGGGACATCTTGATTGCTTCCAAGTTTTGGTAATTATGAATAAAGCTACTATAAACATTAGCATGCATGTTTTTGTGTGGACATAAATCTTCAGCTCGTTTGGGTAAATACCAAGGAGTGTGATTGCTGGATTGTAATGGTAAGACTATTGTAAGACTTTGTAAGAAACGGTCGAACTGTCTTCCAAAGTGGCTGTACCATTTAGCATTCCTGCCAGCAGTGAATGAGTTTGTTGCTTCACATCCTTGCCAGCACTTGGTGTTGTCAGTGTTTGGGATTTTAGCCGTTCTAATAGGTGTGCTGTGGCGTCTCCTTGTTGTTTCATTTGCAATTCCCTAATGACATATGACATTGACCATCTTTTCATATGCTTCTGGCCTCAGTTTTAACAGACTCAAATAAGCCATGAGAGAGGAGCTGATGCCTATGTAGAAAATCTATTTGACATCTTCTACATTTTTTTTTTTTAATTTAAAAATGTATGTTTGTGCACGGCCTCAGGCAGGAGACTTTTCTTTGGCTTCATTGGAGGAGTCTGGACCCAGTGCCATTACTTCCCTTTTGTCTCATTACTTTCAAAGTCCCTATTGAGCCCTCGAGGAGCCCTAACCAAAGGGTTGACCATTCGGACCCACCAGCTGCTCTGTGGGAAGAAGATGTGGCAGTCTGCTTGGAAACTATGGGGCAGTTCTACTCTGACCTATAGGGTCACTATGAGTCAGAATAAACTCTATGGCAATGGGTTTGGGGTTGGGTTATTGAACCCTCAGCACTCTCGCTGTCCGCTGAGAAAATAAAGGGTTTGTGTCCTGGCGTGGAGTGCGGCCAGATGGCACCGCTCCTCCTATCTTACCCCACCTCCCCGCCTGTCCTCGTTCTCTGTCAAACCCCCCATGCATCTCCTCAAGGTGGGCTCCTTTCCCCTAATCCCTGTGCAGCAAGGCCCAAACATGTACTTGAGAACAACTTTCAATCTCATTTATGGAGGTCAGCCTCTATAACCTAAGTCATTTCAGCCAGAGATGATTTCATCATGATGGTAAGCTTCGGGTTCTGTTTTTACTGCTCAGTCAAACAGAGAACAGTGAGCTGTTCTTGCCATGTCAGGATGATGCTCCTGCAACTTTGTCAGCGGGGAGAGACTGAGGTTGTTTTCCTGCTGGTGGTGACAGATCAGCTGTGACTCACTCGAGCACTTTCACCGGCTCGCCCTGGGACAAAGACATGCTATTGACTGCAGTTGTGGGGCCAGATTTTCTGTGCTTTGTGATAATAATGCTCTTTACAAGTTTGGATAGGGAGGTCTGGCTTCTTGTACATCTTCCATCAGCCCTGATGAATCAAACATGTCACCGACATTTATTTACTCTGGGGACAGTGATTTGGGGAAACAATTGTTTCTTCAAACAATTTACATGAAACCATTTTTTTAGCTCTTGGGATGCTGGATGTAAAATGCTTGACAGTTTTCTCGTGTTTCTATTTTCTAGGGTTGGTTCATGGATTCACTTCCTGCGTGTGTTAAATGTGCTGACTTGCCCTCAAGACCATGTAAAGCCTGCTGACTGCTAATCTCCCTCATAGCAGAAATTACCCTGAGGTAAATCCAGCTAAGCAGGGTTGTGGTTCATGTCAGGTTTCATGACTGTGCTTAAGGTAATGAAGTGAGATTTAATTGTTCGTTCCAGTGATTTTGGATTTAAAATGTTTGATAACTGCCACCAAAGAAAAGTCAACCTATTTGACTTTTGTTTTGTGACAGAACGTTCTTAGATATAAAGACATTAAAAAAGAAAAAAAAAAACTACTAAATATACTTGGGAATCTAATTGAAATCATCTCCTTTAACTTGCCTGCAATAGTGATGCAGTGGTTAGAATAAAAAACTGAGGGGAGATGGTTTGGGTCAGATGTCACTTTGAGTTTGGCTTAACTAGTAGGCGCATTGAGTAAATTAGGGCTTTAAAGGGAATTAAAAGACTCTGATACTTTTTGTTGATACCCACTTTCTAACAAGTTAGGAAACCCTGGTGGCGTAGTGGTTAAGAGCTACGGCTGCTAACCAAAAGGTCTGCAGTCCGAATCCACCAGGTGCTCCTTGGAAACCCTATGTGGCAGTTCTGCTCTCCTATAGGGTCACTATGAGTGGGAATAAACTCAATGGCAACGAGTTTGGTTTTTGGGTTTTCTAACAAGTCACCTCAAAACTTTCTTCTCTCATCATGTTTAAAGCAAAGGTCCCTAAAGTCTTTAGAAAAGCTCTAGAAGTTAGTTTTTTAAAGATGTTTTTCTCCCTCTCAGCCTAGTTCTTGAGGAATTCTAGTCCTCTTCTTTTGTGGTATTCCTTCTCTGTGTGATATATGAAAGCCCCAACAGACTCTAACACCTCGACTCATATAGTATTACAAATGTGGTAGATTCTGAGCAATACTCTTTTATATTGGGCTGAGGTATTAGCTCTACCCAGCAGTTAATGTATAAGGGGATAAATGTATCTCTTTGATCATTGGAAGGAGTCCTTGGGTGGTGCAAATGGTTAATGTGCTTGGCTACTAACCAAAAGGTTGGAGGTTTGAGTCCACTCAGGGGTGCATTGGAAGAAAGGCCTGGTGATTAACTTCTGAAAAACCAACTATTGAAAATCCTATGGAGCACAGTTCTTCTCTGACACACGTGGGGTTTCCATCAGTTGGAGTCGATGGCAACTGGGTTTTTTTTCAATCATTGAAAACTCAGTATATTTGGACTGATATAGAAAAGATAGTTTCTTCATTTTTCTCTTTAAGAACCACTAGTTCAAAGCCTCACACCACCAAAGTTTCAGTCAGTCTGTAACTTAATCTGATTTCGTGACTGTTCAATTTCTAAATTAACATCTTGCAACAAAGTGTTAAAATAACTAACAGGTAAGCGTATGATATTGTATGTCAGACCAACGATCATAATTGCACAATTGGGAGAACCAGGTCTATTAGTACCTTCTGTGCCGACTTCTTTGAGTTGTGTCAGACACAGAAAGAAGTTGCTTGTTTCCTTTGTGACGTGTATAACATTTGTTTTTAGAAAGTTCTGTCATAATGGAATGTAACTTAGATCATGGCTCTTACTGATGCAACTCTTCTTAATTTAGGTTAAAATGGGGAACTCCGAGAGTCAGTACACCCTTCCAGGATCTAAAAACTACAGCAATACTGTTACTGGTGCTAAGCAAAAGCCTTGCTCCCTGAAAATCCGCAGCATCCTTGCAAAAGATGAGAAGTCATTGCATGGGTGCAGTAATGGAAGCAGCGGGGCGAGCTACAAGTCCAGGTCCCTGGCCCGCAGCTGCCTTTCTCACTCTAAGAGTAACCAGCCGTATGCATCAAGACTCAGTGGACCCACCTGCAAAGTGTCCAAAGGTACTAGCTACTCCAAGCACAGGACAAATGCCTCAGGGAACGACTCCCAGGGGAGTAGTGCTGCTTTCTCTCCTGAGAATGGCTTCTCCTATGTTGGCCACCAGCCAGCAGATAACCACATCACCTCTCGAGACTGCAACGGACACCTTCTCAACTGCTATGGGAAGAATGAGAGTGTTGCATCCACGCCCCCAAGGGAAGACCAGAAGAGCCCCAAGGTGCTCATCAAAACGCTGGGGAAGCTGGATGGATGTTTAAGGGTAGAGTTTCACAATGGTGCCAACCACAGCAAAGTGCCTGCAGAGGACTCCAGGGGACCAGTGCAGCTGCTGAGGTATTCACCCACCTTAGAATCAGACAGCTCCCACGTGCCTGAAGTCAGGAGGAATTCTAGTGCTGAGTACCTGTCCAGCCACTGCCTTTCTCCCACCGACTCTCGCCTGCGGTCCAGCAAAGGCAGCTCCCTGAGTTCTGAGTCATCCTGGTACGACTCCCCGTGGGGCAATGCTGGAGAGATGAGTGAACTAGAGGGCTCCTTCCTGGCCCCTAGCACCCCGGACCCCAGCCTCCATGCCAGCTTCCCACCAACTGATGCCAAAAAGCCTTTCAACCAAAGTGCTTCCCTCTCCTCGCTCCGGGAATTATACAAAGATTCCGCCCTCGGGGGTCTCCCTCCCTCGGGTATCCGGCTCTCTGATGAATACATTGGCATGCACGCTGGCCTAGGCAACCGCGTCTCCTTTGCCTCCGACATCGATGTGTCCTCCAGAGTGGAGCACAGGGACCCCGGCCAGTACAGCTCCTTCACCCTCCCCTGCCGGAAGTCCAAACCCTTAACAGAGGATACTTCTAAGAAGGACACCCTGAAATCCCGAATGCGGCGGATCAGCGACTGGACTGGAAGCCTCTCCCGGAAGAAAAGGAAACTCCAGGTGGGTAAACGGTAGAGCATAAGGAAAGATTGCCTTAGTTGCCCCATCTGTAAAATAGGAACGTTATCAGAAGCCTCCACAGTGTCATCCTGAGTTTTCCTGAGCCAGTGAATGTGAGGTTCACCCTGAGACTCGGCACATCTTGTTTTCAGGTGTGAGTTATGTGGTTTTCTTGGGCTTCGGATGTGCATTTTCACTCTTCAACTCACGTCTTCAGTCTCCCTGGTTCTGTGTTTGCCTCTTGTATTCTTCCATGAGCGACCTGGGTGCATGGAACCAAAGTTGCTGATAATATCGGCACCAAACAAGCACATATTCCCACGTACACAAACTCCTGTATGCCAGCAGGACTAAGGTTCAGAAAGCCTTACCACAATGGAGGGAAATTTTATTTTGACTTTTTAGAAATGTGATGTAAAAAGAACAGCTCTTTTTTTATAGAGTTTCCAAACAGCCCTGGTGAATTAGAGCCTGAAAGCAGAAGAATCAGTGAAAAACCCTGCTATGAGTAGAAATCGACTTGATGACAACAGATTTTTTTTTTCCACCTAAAAGGAATATCACACTATTTTAAAAAAAAAAAAATACAAAGAATATATGCTAAAGAAGAGTACATGTTTGACAAAGACAAACTCTTCGTACTAACTTGGGCTGTCATGAGATGTGTGAGGCCTAGTTCCTTCCTGTTTAAATTTTCCATTGTATCAGTCAGGATAGGCTAGGTTATGCTGAGGTAACAGAAAACCCTCAACTCTTTGAGGTGTGGATGAATGGAAGTTTATTTCTGACTTGTGCTGCATGTTTATCGTTGGTCAGCTGTTCTACCTTTTTCTCTCTCTGGGACCCCAGGCTGATGGAACAGTTACCATCTGGAACATGGTGAGCCACTGTGGCAGAGGGAAAAAGAAAATCATGTGTTGGCTTTTAAAGATTCCACTCAGAAGTGACACACATCCCTTCTGCTCACATTTATTGGCTAAAGCAAGTCACATGACCATGCGTACCTTCAAGGGAAGAGAGAGTGGTCAAGTGATCCTACCATGCGCCTGGACGAGGACCAGGAATGCTTGATGGGCAGTGCTGACGGCCACCACAGAGTTTACCCTGGAGCAGATTTAGTTGTTGTTAAGGGGATGTTGAGTCAGTTCCGACTCATAGCGACCCTGTGTACAATAAAACAAAACACTGCCCAGTCCTGCGCCATCCTCATAATCGTTCTTATGCTTGAGACCATTGTTGCAGCCACTGTGTCAGTCCATCTCGTTGAGGGTCTTCCTCTTTCTCGCTGACCCATAAAAAACTGTTGCCGTTGAGTTGATTTCGGCTCTTAACAACCCTACAGGACAGAGTAGAACTTCCCCATAGGGTTTCCAAGGCTATAGTCTTTACAGAAGCGAACTGCCACATCTTTCTACCACAGAATGGCTGGTGGGTTTGAACTGCTGACCTTTCGGTTAGCAGCCAAGCACTTAAACACTGCGCCACCAGGATTCCATGATTTAGAGCACAGACACCCTGAATTTTTGGCCGAAGTAAATTTAAACCCTCACATCTCTTGGAGGGCTGCATTGTTGCAGATAATTTCCACACAGAAGTAGTGGTTCTCACTCTGTTATGAAGGAAAAATGTCTGGTAAGGATTGATAAGATGTGAGTTTGGTACTTTCCACTGGAGGGTGAGAAATGGTGATCAGTATTCCTTTAGCTCCCTAGGAGCTGAGTGCCATGTCTTCAGTGATCGAGTTCCTTTAGCCATTACTGTGATTATCTGACTGGGGTAATGGGAAGCACATGACTTGCTGTGCATAGACAACATGACCCCTTAGTTTCACACCCATCACACAGTGATCAGGAATTCCAGCTGAGCCTATTAAGAAATGTGGGAACCAGTAATAAAAAGTTTACTTTCAAAAGGCCCCCTTTTTTTTTTTATTGTTGTACTTTACGTGAAAGTTTACAATTCAAATTGTCTCTCATACAAAAATTTATACATACGTGTGACCCTAGTTGTTCTCCCTATACTGTGACAGCACACTCCTCCTTTCCACCTCGGATTTCCTGTGTCATTCAACCAGCTTCTGACCCTCTCTACCTTCTCATCTTACCTCTGGACAGGAGCTGCCCATTTAGTCTCATGAATCTACTTGAGCTAAGGAGCACACTCTTTACGAGTAGCATTTTATGTTCCATAGTCTAGTCTAATCTTTGTCTGAAGAGTTGGCCTTAGGAATGGTTTTAGTTCTGGGTTGACAGAGAGTCTGGGGGCCATGCTTTCTGGGGTTCCTCCAGTCTCAGTCAGACCATTAAGTCTGGTCTTTTTACTAGAATTTGAGTTCTGTACCCACTTTTCTCCTGCTCCATCAGAGACTCTCTGTTGCGTTCCGTATCAGGGCGGTCATTGGTGGTAGCCGGGCACCGTCTAGTTCTTCTGGTCTCAGGCTGATGAAATCTCTGGTTTACATGGCTCTTTCTGTCCCTTGAGCTAATACTTTCCTTGTGTCTTTGGTGTTCTTCATTCTCCTTTGCTCCAGGTGAGTTGGGACCAATTGATGCATCTTAGATGGCTGCTCGCTAGCTTTTAAGACTCCAAACGTAAAAAGGCACTTTTCTGTTAGCCTGAAAATTAGTTATTGGCTATTAGAATTTTAGATAGAAAGTGCTAGAAATTTATTAGAGACTGGGAAGGTTCATGTCTGTGTATAAGAATCAATGCGAAATGCTAAGATGCAATCTTTTCCCATTTGTTGAGGAGGAAAACTGTTCTTGCTTTGCTAAAGCTGAACATTTAAAAGTTAGCACAGCATCTTGAAATCTCTGTCTTGTGAGGAACAAGGTGAAGACTGTTTATAGGTCAGATTTATGATGCTTATGAGCTGTTTTCTGGCATGGATTTGCTTGTTTGGAAATGGCCTGTTATGACTATTGCTGGCTATCAGAGGTAATCCCAATGTTTGTGGACTGTGAGTCCGAGAGTCATTAATGGCTAAAATGATGTTAACAGTGGCTAAATGAGATGTATTCCTTCACCCCCTAGGATTTTCGAAGAGCCACACAAAGTGACAATTAAAAAAAAAAAAATGCTTAAACTATTTAGAAAGTTTTCTGTTTAAGTGACTCACGGTAGCTAGCTTATTTGCTGTATTATTGCATAAGCATCAGTGTATGTGTAAATAAATATCACTATGGGATGTAGTATAAACACAAGTGGGAAATAATATTTTCATTAGTAATTGCTATGTTGGGCTTGGTTGTTTGCAGCCCCTGGGTATCTGGAAGCAATCTTCAGTCACCTGATGGGTTTCCTACAAAATGCAGCAAGTAATTGCTACTTGATTTCTACATGAAGTTTCTGAAAAAAAAAAAAAAAAAGCCCTTTGCACAGTGGAATATTCAAAATAAAGTCTTGAATTGGTGATCTTGATTCAGTTTCCCCTTCATTTTTATTTCAGTGGATAAGGAAATAGCACCTGAGCAAACCTGAGTGAGGTGAAACTGAGTGTATTTCACAATCTCAGCAGAGTTACCTTAATCGAAGTTTGGACTATCAGTGAGTTTGAGCCAAGTTAAGATCACTTCTGCTGAATATATTTAGCTTCTGCTATTTATCAACAAATGGCCTGTATGAAAGCTATTGTTCTTGGATGACTAGGCTTCTAATCTAGACCCTAGAGGAAACTTCCGTGTTTTCAACCCTGTGCATGGTCAGCTCAGTGTTCAGTGTATTTTATCCTCAAAGGCGGAAGCGGTTCACGTAAAAATATTAATTTTATTTAAAGCTGCCTGTATCTGAATTTGTGTGGAATAGTTATTAATGTTGAGTATCATATTTTTGGTGTCCTGGTTGCCTAGAATAAAATAGATATTTAAATAAATGGCTATAAGTGAATGAAAGGATTTCCCATATTCACTGAAGAATATTAATTATGGGACAAAGCTACAGTTACTAGCCAGCACTCTTTGTGGATAAGGGCTCCTAGGTGTATGCTCTTTAGTATCTGAACTGGATGCTGTGCATCCCAAAGTGTAGACCTGGGCAGTTGGCTAGAAACTCGCATTTACCGCATTTACCATGGGGAAAGGAAGAAAAGACTGTGGGGTTTTGTGTAAAAAGAACTGAATCTCTACTTTCCTCCCCAGGCTCCTGGAACCAGTGATTTTCTAATTTAGTTTAAAATGATCCAGGAGGAAAAGAGGCTGCAAGAACACAAATTCTTCCCTGGAAGACACTGATTCACAGTTAGCAAAGAAATATAATTCTAGAAATTTTCACTAACTTGTTTTAAATACACTGGTTAATTTCTTAATGCTAATCATAGGTTTGGTGGTGCAGTGGTTAAGAGCTCAGCTGCTAGCCAAAAAGTCGGCAGTTTGAATCCACCAGCCACTCCTTAGAAGCCCTCTGGGGCAGTTCTACTCTGTCCTGTAGGGTCGCTATAGTCAGAATCAACAGCAACAGGTAAGCACAGGTTTGTTGTTAGCTGCTGTTGAGCCAGCCCCCGACTTATAGCAGGCTCATGCACAAGGGAACAGAACATTGTCTGGTCCTGCACCATCCCCATGAGCAGTTGTAGATCGAACGATTGTGATCCACAGGGTTTTCATTGGCTGATTTTCAGAAGTCGATTGCCAGGCCTTTCTTCCTAGTTCTTAGTCTGAAAGCTCCACTGAAACCTGTTCAGCATGAATTAGAATATTTAAAGGTATTTTATTTACCTGTTTAAGGATTGATACCACTGGGAAAGTTGGGTTGGACAAAACTGTTTCCAAAACTCTTTCTGGTGTTGAGACTTGATGATTAGAGGTGTATTTTTGTTAAAAGAATCTTGTTTTGCAGCATCATTACTAGGAATGAGCAATATTGGACGTATGCTTGTGGCGGAAAGGGGACATGCTTTGGGCCTACGGAACCTCTGATTAGTGGTTGTTTGCATTGCCCACAGGAGCCCAGGTCCAAGGAGGGCAGTGACTACTTTGACAGCCGCTCCGATGGACTGAATGTGGACACGCAGGGGCCCTCCCAGGTGTCAGCTTTACTGTGGTCAGGGGGCTCAGCGCAGGTCTTGCCTCAGAGGAGCGAGTCCACGAACGCGATCGGCAGCGATCCCCTGCGACAGAATATTTACGAGAATTTCATGCGAGAGTTGGAAATGAGCAGGACGAACGCGGAGAACGTAGAGACATCCACAGAAACGGCCGAGTCCAGCAGCGAGTCCCTCAGCTCCCTGGAGCAGCTGGATCTCCTCTTTGAGAAGGAGCAGGGTGTGGTCCGCAAAGCTGGGTGGCTCTTCTTCAAACCCCTTGTCACTTTGCAGAAGGAAAGAAAACTCGAGCTGGTGGCCCGGAGGAAGTGGAGACAGTACTGGGTAACACTCAAAGGTAAGCACGTCATAGAGTCATGAGGGGCCGCTGGAAACACTTCCTCAGGCTAAACGCTTGTCTAGAAAATGCTAACGAGTCTGCATCAGTTTGAGTTAATACGAAGGGATTTGATAAAGAATCTTACGGCATAAACAAAAAAAAAACCCAAACCCATTGCTGTCGAGTTGATTCCAACTCATAGCGACCCTATGGGACAAAGCAGAACTGCCCCATAGGGTTTTCCAAGGCCGTAATCTTTAAGGAAAGTAGACTGCCACATCTTTCTCCTATGAAATGGCTAGTGGATTCGAACCGCCGACCTTTCAGTTAGCAGCCTAGCGCTTAACCATTGCGCCACCAGGGCCCTTCTCGTATGATATGCTTTACCACAAATGCTTTCTCAAATATTGATAGTATTTTTACTGAGTATTTATATATGTAATTCATTTTAGTAAATAATGATCGAATTTAACAGTCATCACTTATTTATAGGATTGTTAAGGAGCCCTGGTGGTGCAGTGGTTAAGCACTCGGCTGCTAACCAAAAGGTCAGCGGTTTGAACCCACCAGCCGCTCCACAGAAGAAGGATGTGGCAGTCTGCTTCCATAACGGTTACAGCCTTGGAAACCCTATGGGACAGTTCTACTCTGCCCCACAGGGTCGCTATGAGTCGGAATCGACTCGACGGTAACGGATTTGGTTTTAGATTGGTACCATTGTTGGATGCATTTCCTGTATCTGGAAAACAAAAAAGGAACAAATAAGTAAGCAAATGTAGCTTAGTTATTTGGCGTGTATATCCTGAATTTCACTTTCTGCACACAAACTCCAGAGTGGTGTCCTCCTTACCCAGCTTGTATCACTAAGAATAACATGTGGATTGTTCAATCTGTGCAACTCCAGCCTTTATGACATAAGAAAGTCTAATTGTTATCATAAGAAAAAAAGTGGGATTTTTTTTATGTAAAGGAAATAGAAATGAGTCCAAATAATTGTTTAAGAATTGTTTTATTAAGATGATAAAAGTTTTTCGCAAGTCTTGCCACTTAAAAATTAGAATTGCCTCGCTCTCTGTGGATGTATAGATTTGAAGCAATCTGAGTATCCTGTGAGGAAGCAGGAGGGCTCTAAATCAATATAGCATTGATTGGTACAGAGATAAACAGAAAGAACAGCCTCACAGCCCCTGACAGTCTGCACAGTCCTCCCGGAGGAGCTGAAGGTGCTCAAAAGTCAAACCTCATTATCGGGTGACACCCTGCCTTATCGCTGGAGAAAAGCAGAAATGTGACCCCAGTCTGCGACAGTAGGTGTGAAATGCCCGGAGCCCTCCACGTGGCTCCACTCTAGCTCTCTTTTTCTTTCTAAGTAAAAACAGAGGCACACCCAGCCTGGTAGTCAAGGCCTCATTTGTGATCACCATAAGCTCTTGTGGCTTTTGTCTTCAAGGAACACCTTCTTCTAGCAAACTGGAGGGTTTATGAAACCCCAGGAACCAACATCTCCCGCACAAGACGTCCATGTATTGCATGCATATTGCAGTATGTCTTGCGCATGTTGCATGCATCTTTCCCAGCGCTGAATCTGGATCCTGGGGAATGTTGTGACTAAGGAAGGCAAAGGAGTTTGTCAATTTTTGTATACCGGGGAGGCAGGCTCTTATACTAAGTGACAAAAGATGTGGACGGTTAGAATGACGGGTTGAATCTAGCAAGATAAAAGTTAGACGGGATAAGTCAGTTATGCTTTTCAGTTTAAAAATCGATGAAGTCATTGGTTAGAGGACACGGTGTTTCTTTTGATAGCGGCGGGATGATTTGGGAATGCACAGTGGTCATGGTTGCACAACATGATGAACATAATCAGTGTTACTAAATTGTGCATGTAGACATTGTTGAATTGGAAAATGTTTTGTCATATTTTTACCACAATAAAAAAAAAAAATCAACTAACCACCTGAGTGCAGGATAGGGAGATGTGGCTGCAAAGTATTAAAAGTGAAAAAGATTTGGAGATTTGATTTGCAGGCCGTTCATAAGGCGTTTCTAATGTGATGTGGCTAAAATCAAAGTAGATGTGATTTAAAAGAGTGAATGTGGGGCTATATCATTAGAGATATAATGTTTACTGCAGAGGAGGTGATAGTCTCTCCCCCCTCTTCCCTTGTCAGAGTTGGCTGTTTCTTTCCTTGTGGGCATGATATTGCAGGAGATTTGTAAGTAAACAAGAAAATGATTCTTGAAGTGGTTCTACTGGATGTATCTCTGCCCGGAAAGGAGAATGAACATATCCCCTTGTGGGAGTGAGTGTCTGGAATTTTTGTGGGATCACGGTCTGAAGCTGCCTTCTACTTGCATGATATTTAGAATGGATGCACTCTACTCCACAATATATCATGTGTCCATTTTGTTTTTAAACATAAAAATCATTTTTTTTAAATCGAGACTTTGGGACATTGTACCGTGGTTCTTTTATGGCTTTGAAAACCCCAGCTGTACATCCCCACGGTGGTGGAGGTGATGGTGTGTTAACCATATCCAGTGTGAGAAGCAGGGCCATAGGGGACCCCAAAGGGATTTGGAGTTACGCCACGTGGAGGACTGCGTAAGGCTCTAGGAATATGTAGCCTTGAGAAAATAAAGAGCCGGGGTGAGAGTGAGGAGCAGTCTTGTAGAAGAATCACTGACTTTATTCTGGTTCTCCAGAAATTAGACTAGAACCAATAGATAGAAGATAAGCTAATTCTGAATCAATGTTTAAAAACAAAAACCCACGAGAATTAGTGCTGTTGGCAAATGGAAAGACGTTACCTTCTCTGATTTCCCTGAGACTGCAAACAAATGTGCAGAGCCAAGTGACCACTTGTTGGAGGCTTCCTGGGGGAGATTCCGGCGTGTATCACCTAAGGATTGGAGGAGTGAATCTCTAGGTTCCAGTAGTCTAGCCTAGTAGGTATACCACCTATATTAGTTGGGGTTCTCCAGAGAAAGAAAACCGAGGGGATATACATATATATGTATGTATATACATGGTGACTCATGGTGACCCCATGTGTGTAGAGTAGAACTGTACTCCATAGGGTTTTCAGGACTGTGACCTTTTGGAAGCAGATCACCATACCTTTCCTCTGAGACACTCTGAATGGGTTTGATCTGCCAGAATTTGGCTAGTACTTGAGCACTTAACCATTTATGTCACCCCGGGAATTTGTGTGTGTGTGTGTGTGTGTTTATGTATGCGTGTATGCATGCGTGCGTGCATGAGAGAGAGAGAGAGAAATGTTTATTTTAAGAAATGGACTTACACGATTAGAAACTTAGGCAGGATGTCTATGTTGAAGTCTTTGAGGCCAAATCCTTCTCTCTCTGGAAACTTCAGCTTTTGTTCTTAAGGCCTTCAACTGATTGGATGAGGCCCATCCACATTATGGAGAGTGAACTGCTTTACTTAAGGCCAACTGATTTAAATGCTAATCAGGTGTAAATACCTTCACAACAACATCTAGACTGGTGTTTGACTAAACAACTGGGCACCACAGTCTGCCCAAGCTGACACATAAAAGTAACCATCACACCAGGAATTTTTGGCTGCTGAGTTCAGGGGCAGAGACGGTCCTTGGTTGCCTTTGATCATTACCAAGACTTGCATTTCTGCCTGTGTCCTACTGTCTCAGCACTTGCTTGTAAAACGCTTCAAGATGCACAGATAAAGGGTGCTTTGTAAGTGTAAATGTTATCAAACACACATTCCTTCGCTTCCTTTACAGCCAACGAAAGGCATGTGATAAAAATGTTTTTCCCCAGCATAACCTTTTCCATGTGGCTTCTGCACCTCTTTCCTCTGGGAATTCAGTATGTAGAGTTCAGCTTTTTTGGCTTAGAATCAAAGTTGTAATGTTTGGACTTCACTATTTGGTTTAATCTTAGTTGAAAACATGTATGTGTATATGTACACACATACACATTTAAGCAGAATTTTTAAATTATCCTTGAAGTATCTGTATAAATAAATTGGCAGCAGTGTTCTGGAGAGAGCAGTTTTTAGCAAACCATCTGGTTACCTACCTAGATGGAATGTATAGGTATGCTAAGGCACACCTAGGTTTTTTTAGGTCTCAGAGGATGTAATAAATAGTCAACAGGGTTAATTCTGCTTTCCATTTGTCTTTTCCAGTGAGTGGTTTACAGGGGACTTCATGGCTCAAAATATACAATAGGCTGACTCAGGTGCAGTTTCAAAAACTAAAAAAAAAAACAACCTGTTGCCATCCAGTCAATTCTGACTCACAGCGACCCTGTAGGACAGAGCACAACTGCCCCATAGGGTTTCCAAGGAGAGGCTGGTGCATTCAAACTGCCGACCTTTTGGTTAGCAGCCGAGCTCTTAACCAGGTGTAGTTTCAGAAGGAAAAAAATAAAACCTATTGCCATCAAGTCAATTCCAACTCATGGCGACCCCATGTGTTACAGAGTGGAACTCCATAGGGTTTTCTTGGCTGTAATCTTTACAGAAGCAGATCGCCAAGTCTTTCTTCTTTGGCACTGCTGGGTATGTTTGAACTGCCAACCTTTAGGTTAGTAGTCGAGCGTTTATGCTACCCAGGGCTCTGGTTTCAGGAAACGAGTTCAGAAAGTAATTCTGGGCACTGGTGGCTCTACTCTGAGAGAGGCTAGTAGCAGAAGATGTGAGAACAAAGGATGTCAGAGAAAAGGCGGATCTGAGGGAAGACAAACACTAATTGCTCTCCTTCCTCCAGTAATATTTCTACGAAAATTACCTCTTCTATTAATGTACACCCAACTGCTACCATAAATAAGAGCTTTCACTGTCCGTCCTCCAGTCCAACACCAGGTCCTGGCTGGGAGCAGACAGGGATGACGGCTGCAGCCCGCTGGTTGGTTGGTGGCAGGCAACTTTACTGATGCTGGTGCTAGGAAACTTTACTGATGTTGGTGCAGCCCCTCTCCATCCACCGCAGAGCCCCAAGATTAGAGACACAGTGCTCCTTTAGGTTAATTTTGATGCAACAGATTTAAAACTGAGTTCCTGTCCTTTAAATTCAATAGCAACCAACCTCTCTGTGTTGCTACATCCTGACTTGGCTCTAAAATGAGACGTCCTGTTGTGGTTTAAGGCTTCCATGTGGGAGCTCCAGGCTGTTGTAGATAACGTGTTGGGTTTGGCAGCATCCTGGCATCTGCCCAAGGTTCACGTTCATTTCCTCTGTGTCATGGATTGAATTCTGTCCCCCCAAAAATGTGTGTATCAGTTTGGCTGGGCCATGATTCCCAGTATCATGTGGTTGTCCTCCATTTTGTGATTGTGATTTTATGTTAAAGAGGATTAGGGTGGGATTGTATAACTCCCTTACTAAGGTCACATCCCTGATCCAGTGTAAAGCGAGTTTCCCTAGGGTGTGGCCTGCACCACCTTTTATCTTACAAGACATAAAAGGAAAGGAAGCAAGCAGAGAATTGGGGACCTCATACCACCAAGAAAGCAGTGCCAGGGGCAGAGCGCATCCTTTGGACCTGAGGTTCCTGCGCTGAGATGCTCCCAGACCAAGGGAAGACTGATGACAAGGACCTTCCTCCAGAGCTGACAGAGAGAGAAAGCCTTCTCCTAGAGCTGATGCCTTGAATTTGGACTTGTAGCCTACTAGCCTGTGAGAGAATAAATTTCTCTTTGTTAAAAGCCATCCACTTGTGGTATTTCTGTTATAACAGCACTAAATGACTAAGACACTCCGGATGTGATGATTCCAGCCATCACTGTTGGGAAGCTGGGAAGCGAACGTACACCCACTGGGGAGAACTTGGACTTGAGCCCAACTGACTTTGCTTGGTCACCTTTACCTGGTCCTCGTGTCCCCCATCAGGGCAGCTGCATACATAGCAGTGGTGTCCAACAGGCCTTCCTTAAGAGAAAGATTGGGATCGTTGTGTCTAAGTGCATCCCAAACCAAAGTTGATTCCGACTCATGGCATCCGCATGTTTGTAGAGTAGAATTGCCCCATGAGGTTTTCATGGCTGTGACCTTTCAGAAGCAGATAAGCAGGCCTTTCTTTTGAGGCAACTCTGAGTGGACTCAAGCCACCAGTCTTTCAGTTAGCCGTCAAATGCTTAACCGTTTGCGCCACACAGGGACTCCCTAAGTGCCTCAGTGGCTGGAAGAAGAAATTGGCTTGGACCTGCAGGAAGCAGCCCTGGCCATAAGCCTCTTGCTCTTTTCCCTTGTTCTTCATTGTTTCCATCAGCCGCATAGTTAGGATGGATTTTGTTTGAGGGGAGGAAAGCTTTCAGTGTTTCTTAGATCGTAAAGTATGATCATAAAGAAAACGCTGTCCCAGCAATGCTGTTACTGGAGACTGAGCTTGATGCAGACATTTTTTTCTCCTAGATGTCTCAGCTGCCCTGGGTTGCGTAATATAAACTTGTTTATTTACATCAAAATTTACTTTTAAACTTAGAAATGAAACTGCCAAAGGTAAAGTGATTTTTAAAACATAAACTTTTATGGAAATCCCTGGGTGGCATAAAAGGTTAAGCGCTTGACTACTAACCGAAAGGTTGGCAGTTCGAACCCACTCACAGGTGCTTTGGAAGAATGGCCTGGTGATTTGCTTCCGAAATGTCACAGCCTTAAAAACCCTATGGAGCACAGTTCTACTCTGCACACATGGGGTCGCCATAAGTAAGAGTCCACTCTGTGGCAACTGTTTTTTTTTTAAATTTATGAATGATGGTTCATCTAGTAGACCCCATTCATTTACACTGCGGGTGAAAGCAGGCTGCCATTTCTTTAATGTCAGTATAAAAAGTATTTGCAAAACACATGGGTGGTGACCATCTCATTCATATCTGTAGGCTAGAGCTCAGCACATAAATGCTAAAGATTGTTGGATGAAGGTTGTAAGGCTGTTAAACCTATGTGAGAGAACATACTTATGAGCACTTTAGAAGCATTGATTTGCTTAAAAATTGTGTCTAATGATTATAAGGCATTTCTAATTATCAAAGCAGATCCTAATAACTTCTGCCTGAAATACTTTAAAGCTATGCATTTGAAAGCACATACAATGAAATTTGTGAGATCTGGAACTCGCTGGGACTGCCTTATTTTTCTGGGTCTCACAAGTTTTCCACAGGGTACAGTCTTAGCACTTTTCTGTCACTCTCTATTAGAAAATATTTGAGTTTTCTTTCTCCTACAGGTTTCTGCCATACATAGTTTCCGGCTTTCGCAGGTTTTACTGTATAATAGCATTTATATAGAAATATTTCAAAATTCAGGCATATTTTGCCTCATGTCTTCTCCCTTGGTCTAAATTAGTAACATTATGTAGTATTTCCCATCACTGTGAGATAAAATATTAAATATTAAGTTCTTTCACATGGTATCTGGAGATTAAACAGATTTGTTTCTCATGAATGGCAGTGTTCCCCAGGCTGACTCAGTTTCTAGTTATCACACATTCTAAGTGCAGACATTAGTTAATGAATCTGGGCTTTCCTTCCTTCTTCCGCATTTGGATCTCTCAGGTAATGCCGTGTTGTACTTCAGAACAAGGGCTCTGGAGCCAGAGTGCCGGGTTCAGATCCCTGCTCCACCATGTTCTGCTCTGGGACCTGGGCGAGTTATTTATTCTCTCAGGTTTCTCATCTGTAAAATGGGGTTAATAACCACTCTTACTTTATAGGGTTGCTGTGGGATTAAATGAGCCAGTGCCTGTGAAGTACTTAGAAAAGTTCCTGACCCAGAGTATCTTGTCAGGCTTCTCTAGAGAAACAGAACCAGTAAGATGTGTGTATATGTATGTATATATGTGTACGAATGTATATGGAGAGAGAGAGAGTGATTGACTGATTTTAAGGAATTGGCTCATGTGCTTGTGGGGGCCTGACAGGTCCAAAATTAGTAGTTCAGGTGATAGGCTGGATTCCCTGCAGTCTTATGTCCCCCAAATCCACAGGCCAGGCAGTGGGAAGAGTGGTGGGTGAGGAAGTTCTGGGAAGATGCCTGTCTTAGTCATCTAGTGCTGCTCTAACAGAAATACCACAAGTGGATGCTTTATTTTCTCACAGTCTAGTAGGCTAGAAGTCCAAATTCAGGGCGCCAGCTCCAGGGGAAGGCTGTCTCTCTCTGTCGGCTCTGGAGGAAGGTCCTTGTCCTCAATCTTCCCCTGGTCAAGGAGCTTCTCAGGCGCAGGGACCTCGGGTCCAAAGGACGCGCTCTGCTCTGGGCACTGCTTTCTTGATGGTATGAGGTCCCCAACTCTTTGCTTGCTTCCCTTTCCTTTTATCTCTTGAGAGATAAAAGGTGGTACAGGCCCCACCCCAGGGAAACTCCCTTTACATTGGATCAGGGATGTGACCTGGGTAAGGGTGCTGTTACAATCCCACCCTAATCCTCTTTAACATAAAATTATAATCACAAAATGAAGGACAGCCACAGAACACTGGGAATCATGGCCTAGCCAAACTGATACGCACGTTTTTGGGGGGACATAATTCAGTCCATGACAGTGCCTATTTATAGTCTGGAAGCAGAATACATCATTAATAAAACTCCCTTTTTGCTTCTTAAGGCCTTCACCTGACCGGATGAGGCCCACCCACCTCATGGAGGGTAATCGGTGTTACTTGAGGCTAGCTGATTTAGCGCCTGTAACTGCATCATGACAGGGTATATATAACTGCATCGTAACTGAGAGTGTAGTGTAGCCAAGCCGACACATAAAGTTAACCATCACACAGAGTAAACAACAATAAACACTTGGTGTTGTCCTTATGGATATTGTATTGACAACAGCCTCTCATTTTCATTTAAGTTAATACTAATATAAGGAAATATACTTCAGACACTGTCTTTTCCTTCTTCACCACGTTTCTGTTCATTTTATGTCTCATTCTGCTTTTCATTGGCCGCATCACTTGCCTTCTCATTCCTTTACTCGATCCTAAGACAGGTGACAGGATGGTATCTTGCCTCTCTTGTTCACAGGCTGCACTCTACTGTTTTATGAGACCTATGGCAAGAATTCCACGGACCAGAGCAGTGCGCCTCGATGTGCTGTGCTTGCGGAAGACAGCATCGTACAGTCTGTCCCAGAGCACCCCAAGAAGGAGAACGTGTTCTGCCTCAGCAACAACTTTGGAGACATCTATCTTTTCCAGGTACTGTTGCTGCTTTGTTAAGTGTAGGGTTTGAGGGGATGGTGGGTGTAACAGAAATGCTTTTACACTATTAGGATGAGAAGGAGTAAAATGGAAAAGGCAAAACTTTAAAAAGAGTAAAAGCTTAGTTGGGGGCATTGGTGGTGATTCCGTGGTAGAATTCTCACCTTCCGTGCAGGAGACCCAGGGTTGGTTCCCCAGCCAATGCACCTCATGGGCAGTCACCACCCGTCTGTCAGTGGAGGCTGCGTGTTGCTATGATGCTGAACAGTTTTCCGCGGAGCTTCCAGACTAAGATGGACTAGGAAGAAAGGCCTGGTAATCTACTTCCAAAAACCTGCAAATGAAAACCCTGTGGGTCACAATGGTCAGATCTGCAACTGATCATGGGGATGGAGCAGACCCAGCCAGTGTTTTGTTCCATTGTGCATGGGTTTGCTATGATTTGGAGGCCAATGGGCTGCAGCTAACAACAAAAACAAGAACAACAAAAGCTTAGCTTTTGGATTTTGGCTTAAGAAAGAGGCGATAGATGACTAACTGCCAGACATATTGGGACCATCACAAATTGATTCATTCATACAGCAAGCAATACTTGGGTGCCCATGGAATGCCAGGCTATGGCCCATAAGAGGCCCTTCAGGATACAAAGAGAAAACATTTATGACCCCCGTTCTGGAGTAGCTCACCATCTAGTGAGTTCCATGTTGAAATTCCCAAAGTTGAAGCTTTTCTCACTGAGAACATGCCTAGAAGAGGCTTAGGCTGTTCCCAAGAATCTCAGTGGAAGTTCAACAAGATTTTCTATGAAAAGCCTCATAAACAAAGGCCATAAGGTCTAATTTGCCTGGGGAAGTGGTCTTCTGAGATTAAGATTTAGGTTATCTGCTGTTACAACGTTTAGCAACTTTCTAGCAAATGAGAAGTTGTAGACTGTGGTGGTACCAAGCTGTTGGAGTTGGGGCAGGATAAAGTTTGGGTATGGTTCTACTGTTGAGTATATATGTCATCTTGGAGCACTTATTAAAACTTCTCTGAGCTTCAGACCCTTCAACTTGTAGGATAATAATAGCTTATAGAATTGCTTTAAGGGTAAATAATATAATGTGCAATGTATTAAGTGCTAAAGAAATTCTAGCTATTATTATTGTTAATTATTAACTCAAGAGAAGTAGGGGTGATATCCAGGAGGTTAAGGGTGCTTCTTGATTGCCTTCCAAGTCAACCCTAGTACTGTGTGTAGGGAGCCCTGGTGGTGCAGGGGTTAAGCATTTGGCTGTCAACCAAAAGATCAGCAGTTGAAATCTACCAGCTGCTCCTTGGGAACTCTATGAGGCAGTTCTATTCTGTCCTGTAGGGTCGCTATGAGTTGGAATTGACTCGACGGCAATGAGTTTGCTTTTTCTGGTACCACGTGTAGACTATATGTAACTGAAAGTTCATGGAAAACCTCATAGGTCCTAGATTCAGGTCTTTGCAAAAGTTGGTCCTTGATGCCCTCTGGAGCCCTTCAGAACAACATGGTGTTCTCAAGGCTGACTTTGTGAATCTAGAATTCTCCAAAGGGTTCACTGCAACAGGGTTTCCCGGGACAAGTACAAGGTAAGCCCTTTGGACCTCTAGCCTTACTGCTGCCCCCAAACTGACTTGACCTACAAGAGTCAAGGCTTGGGATTTTATTTTCCTTCCTGGAAATCTCTTAACAGAAAGGTTGCTTAAAACTTTCCATAATGCTTTCAAGCACAGTAATGAATTGAGGTTAATCTGAATTGTGGGAAAGGTACATACATTAGATTAAATCTACACGGACTTCTTAGAGGTAAGTGTGATGTGAATATTTTATTTTGTGATTCAGGCAACATTTCTTTATTACTAAGAAGATTCCCCAGTAGGTCCTATTGATCATCCCAGAGGCCGATTGGATGATCTATCCCATGGCCGAATGTGTGTGGTTATTTCTGGACAAGAAAATGTAAGCTGCTTTTCAGCCTGCCTAGCATTGTACATCTTTGTCCATCCTACTTCATTCAAACTTTTTTCTTGTTTTTAAAGTAAAATATTTTCTTTATATGAAGATAATATATGATCATTGTGTCAAATACATGAGGTACAGAAGAATACAGAAAGAAAAATCATTATCCATAAATCCAGTATCCAATATTCAGTGACAACTATTTTAACGTTATCATGCACTTCTGTCAGTATTTTTTCAGTTGATTTTTTCAGAGCTGAGGTCATGTTGGAGACGTAATTTTATGTCTAGGTTTCAAAATGGAATATTTTTGGTCCTAGTATTTTCTCATTCTGTTAAAATTATGACAAAACAGTCTTCTCGAGCAGCTTACTATAGCTGTAAGTGGCTAGGCCTCGTTTTCTTATCATCCCCCTCTTGTTGGCTATTAGCTGGATTCCAGTTTTTCTTTTCATTTTACTTGGGGTCACGTGAGTATTCTGTTCTGCTCTCCATGCTCTCTTGAATCCCCTGGAGGTAAGGAAACCTGAGAGACTTGAGTTGAGTGGTTGTGTGTGTTTTTGAAATTAAATACAATTGTTATGAAGTGAAGAGTCCCTGGGTATTACAAACAGTTAATGCACTTAACTGCTAACCAAAAGGTCGGAGGTTTGAGTCCACCCAGAGGCACCTTGGAAGAAAGGCCTGGCAATTTGCTTCTGAAGATTAGCCATTGATAACTGATTTATGAAGTGAAGTTTCTTCTAAGGTGGTGCAAGTCAGTGTCAGCTTGCTACTTTGGAGACAATTTCCAACAATTGCAAATTAGTTTTTTTTTTTTTTTCCCATCTTATGTTTAGGCCACTAGCCAGACAGATCTGGAAAACTGGGTCACTGCCATACATTCCGCTTGTGCGTCCCTTTTTGCAAAGAAGCATGGGAAAGAGGACACCGTTCGGCTCCTGAAGAACCAGACCAAAAACCTGCTTCAAAAAATAGATATGGACAGCAAGATGAAGAAGATGGCTGAGCTGCAGCTGTCCGTGGTGAGCGACCCAAAGAACAGAAAAGCCATAGAGAACCAGGTACGACCTGCCAGAGTGCTTTCTCCCATTGTGCTGGCCACACACAGGCATTGAAGGTAGGCTCAGGTTGTGGTGGTGACTTTATACCTGTGGGGGACATAATTTATGTGGCTTCTTATTTCAAAGACCGGTAGTCCCCGACTTAGAAAGGATTCAAGTTAAGACAAACCATATTTACAACCACCTTTTTTTTTTGTGTGTGTCTTATTGTTAGTATACGTACCACTACAGTGTTGCAGCATATAATTTATTGATGTTATCATTCTCATGCCAATCCCCCCAGACAAATAAAGATCAGATTTATAAAGATACTGACAATTAAAGGCAATGATAATGAAAACTAAAAAATAAGAAAAGAAAAAAAAAAGTAGTCAACTTATACCAGAACCAACTTACGATGGAGTCGTCAGAACGGAACCTCGTCATAATTTGGGTACTTTGTTGTTGTTAGGTGCCATTGAGTCGGTTCCATCTCATAGACACCCTGTGTGCAACAAAATGTGACACTGCCCAGTCTTGCGCTTTCCGCACAATCGTTGCTACGTTTGAGCTCATTGTTGTAGCTACTGTGTCAGTCCATCTCATTGAGGGTCTTCCTCTTTTTCTCTGACCCTCTACCTTACCAAGCATAATGCCCCTTTCCAGGGACTGGTTCCCCTCTGCTAACATGTTTAAAGTACATGAGACAAAGTCTTGCCATCCTTGCTTCTGGCTGTACTTTGTCTTCCAAGACAGATTTGTTTGTTCTTCTGGCACTCAATGGTATATTCAGCATTCTTCTCCAACACTGTAATTCAAAGGCATTAATTCTTTGGTCTTCCTTTTTCATTGTCCAGCTTTCGCATGCATATGAGGTGATTGAAAATACCATGGCTTGGGTCAGGCTCACCTTAGTCCTCAAAGTGACATCTTTGCTTTTAAACGCTTTAAAGAGGTCTTTTGCAACAGATATGCCCAATGCCATTTGTTGTTTGATTTCTTGACTTCTGCTTCCATGGGTGTTGATTGTGGGTCCAAGTAAAATGAAATCCTTGACGACTTCAATCTTTTCTCTGTTTATCATGATGTTGCTTATTGGTCCGGTCGTGAGGATTTTTGTTTTCTTTATGTTGAGGCGTAATCCATACTGAAGGCTGTAGTCTTTGATCTTCATCAGTAAGTGCTTCAAGTCCTCCTTGCTTTTAGCAAGCAAAGTTCTTTGATTTGCATATCACAGGTTGTTAATGGGTCTTCCTCCAATCTTGCTGCTTTGTTCTTCATATAGTCCGCCTTCTTGGATTATTTGCTCGTAATGCAGATTGAATAAGTATGGTGGAAGAATACAACCTATAGTACGAGTCCTACCTGTACTACAAGCTGAAATCTTTGCAACGTGGGTGACAGTGATTTGCTTTACCACTCTTGGGTGCTGTTTATATATTAAAATATTTTGCGGCCAAATCTTTTTTCCTAACATTGAGTGGTTCCTTCTTGCCTCGCTGATTCTCTCATGTATTTTCTCTGTGAAGAAGAATCCGTATGATAAAGCCACTAGAAGATTAGACAGGTAAGATTCTAATGCAAAGGATGGATTTGGAAAGAGTGGTTCAGTATAACATAGCTATTCCCGTGTCTGGATTCCTGAAAAAAGCCCAGTATTTTTTTATTTATTTATACCAGATAAACTGCTAAAAAGAATGCTTTCTCTGGTAGTTCCACATTCGTATAATAGTTAAATAACCAGTTTCTGTGCTGTTGACATTTTAGGGAGGATAAACCACCAAAAAACAAAAAACAAAAAACACCAAACCAAACTGGTTGCTGTTGAGTTGATTCCAACTCATAGCAAGTCTATAGGGCAGAGTAGAACTGCCCCCTAGGGTTTCCAGGGAGCGACTGGTGGATTCCAACTGCCAGCCTTTTGGTTCATAGTCATAGCACTTAGCCACTGCACCACCAGGGCTCCTTAGGGAGGATAAGCAGCTTTTTAATCTTTAGTTTGCTTTGCTCAGACAATCTCAACACTTAGTCAGAAATTTCTAGCATTTCTGGGGGATGCTGCTTCCTGGGAAACAGACTCTGAGAGGGAGATTTGCCTGTGGAGATTTTCTTGGCAGTGCTCCTAGGACCAACACCTGTAAGGGAGTGAGGGCGCTTGCATTGTGACACATTTGCAGCAGAGGCCTCAGCCCATCCTGCGGGAGCTCTGAACATAGGGGGACCCTTCAGAGTGGTTCTGCATCAAGGCAAAGGGGCCCCAACTTTGTGCCCCCACATCACCAGTCATTGGAGTGGGCTGTACCCAGCTAGAGGCTGTAACTTTGATCAAGGCGTTCCCAGAGAGGGCTTTGGTGATGAGCCATCAGCAGCTGACACTGAATACAGCCTGGTTAAAGAATGCCTGGATCTCCAAAGGGGGATCTGGGTGGTGCACTACAGTATCCAGTACGACCCTTCCCAGTCAGGTGCCCAGTGATCTGGGGACTTGAATGAAGAATAGGGTGAAGATGAGTTATGTGTTCTTGAAATTTTCGTTCTTCTCACTTGGTAAATTATTACAGAAAGGCTAGGTTCCTAAACAAAATTCCAAGGTGACAGAACAATTTGGATTCTCTATGATTTATTATCAGTCTTGGAGGAAGTACAGCCAGAATGTTCCTTAAAAGCAAGGATTATGAGTCTCTGTTTTGCCTACTTTGGACACGTCATCAGGAAATACCAGTAGCTGGAAAGGGACAATTATGTTTGGTAAAGTGAAGGGTCAGCAAACATGAGGGAAACCCTCCCTGAGGTGGACTGGCACAGTAGCTGTGATAATGGGCTCAAACACACTAATGATCGTGAAGATGGTGCAAGACCAGGCAATGTTCTGCTCTGTTATACACAGAGTCACCATGAGTCAGAGCTGACTTGATGGCAGCTACCGACAATGGGGATTTATTAGAAAGCAGTTTTACCTGTAGTGTTTCACTTAAATTACAGATTAAATGGCACATTATCCAACTTCTATTTATATCTAAATGTTTAACCTTTGTTTAGAATTTTTTTAATTGCAGCTTTATGAAGAGCTTAGAACATGCAGAAAGATATTTCTGGCTGGAAATAGTAAATGGATCAAAGGCATGCATTCAAATAGTATGTCTATGATACATTAAGAGTTTGGAATATATCAGTTGGCATTAGTGAAATAACCAATTATTCCCACACTTCCTCCTTCTTTAGTATTTCTAAACGATGGTACAATTGAGGCAAATCTTCTCACTGTATCTTTATCAACCTTTGCTTCTTTTTTTTCTCATATCCTGTGATATGTTCTTCCTTCTCAAATCTTTTCTCTCTTATTTATTTTTCTAACTTCAAATATTGATATACCTAACAGATGCACATAGCTTCAAGAGATACAAAGCATTATAAAATAGGGATGTTGTTTCTAAGAAATGTATAATTTAGTTGAGAGGCAAGCCATGTAAACTCTAGCCTTCAGTATGGATTACACCTCAACCTAAAGAAAACAAAAATCCTCACAACTGGACCAATAAGCAACATCATGATAAACGGAGAAAAGACTGAAGTTGTCAAGGACTTCATTTTACTTGGATCTACAATCAACACCCATGGAAGCAGCAGTCAAGAAATTAAAAGACGCGTTACATTTGGGCAAATCTGCTGTAAGAGACCTCTTTAGAGTGTTGAAAAGCAAAGATGTCACCTTGAAGACTAAGGTGCACTTGACCCGAGCCATGATATTTTCAGTTGCATCATATGCATGCGAAAGCTGGACAATGAGTAAAGAAGACCGAAGAAGAATTGACGCCTTTGAATTGTGGTGTTGGCGAAGAATATTGAATATACCATGGGCTGCCAAAAGAATGAACGAATCTGTCTTGGAAGAAGTACAGCCAGAGTTCTCCTTAGAAGTGAGGATGACAAGACTTTGTCTCACATACTTTGGGCATGTTATCAGGAGGGACCAGTTCCTGGAGAAGGACATCATGCTTGGTAAAGTAGAGGGTCAGCGAAAGAGAGGAAGACTCTCAAGGAGATGGATTAACACAGTGATTGCAACAATGGGCTCAAGCACAGCAATGATCATGAGGATGGCACAGGACTAGGCACTGTTTCGTTCTGTTGTACACAGGGTCTCTGTGAGTCGGAATGCACTCGATGGCACCTAACAACAACAACAAAGGACATTCTCTTGTTGCTAGGTGCTGTCCAGTCGATTCTGATTCATGGTGACATGGCGACCCCATGTGTGCCAAGTAGAACTTTACTCCATAGAGTTTTCAAGGCTGTGACCTTTTAGAAGCAGATCGCCAGGCCTGTCTTCCAAGGCACCCCTGGTGGGTTTGAACTGCCAGCCTTCCAGTTAGTAGTGTAGCGCTTAACCATTTGCACTACCCAGGGACTCCTGTCTAACTACTAGCCAAAACCCTTTTTGCTGTCCTGTTGATTCTGACTCACAGCGACCCTATAGGACAGAGTAGAACTGCCCCATAGGGTTTCCAAGGCTGTAAATCTTTACAGAGGCAGACTGGCACATCTTTCTCTTGTAGAGCAGCTAGTGGGTTCGAACTGCCTACCTTTTGGTTAGCAGCTGCATGCTTAATCACTGGGACACCAGGGTTAAATCTATATGGCAAAGACTGCTATACACACATCTACACTGTACTCCCCTGCCACCTTCACATCTGTGTATGATATTCTAGCAAGTTCTGGCCAATCAAGTATAAATGGTTTACATTAGGTGACAACTGGGTAGTCATCAAATGCTGTGATAGTTCAGAGGGTTGAGCTTGTACTGTGAGAGTTGAGGAAATGGAGACAGCTTCCTGAAGGAATGGGCACACGATTAGGACCTTAAAGAGTTGATAAGAGGTGTGGAGATGTGAAAGACATTCTAGGCTGGGAGGAGGACGGAGAGCATGGAAGGACAATGGGAAGGTGGAAGTAACAAGGTGACTGGGACTCCTGAGACACTGCAGTCGGGGGTTATATTGGGAAGTGGTGAGTAGCTGGTG